GGTGTTGAGTGCAGTGGGTATTGAGAGTCCACACTGCAGGACTGTGAGGAGAGAGGAGTGGAATGCTGTGGGTAGAGAGTGGAGCCAGGAGGTTGATAAGAGTGTATTGGCGGTGTGTGTGTGTGGGGGGGTACATGGGAAAGAGTTTTGCGACAGCAGCTGCAGGGGAGGGTGGACGCGGAGCTGCTTGGTTTAAAGAGCTAGTATCACCTGGAGCATGTCCACGTGGCGCTCCATAACTGTTAAGAGCAGCTCCATGGCTTCTTTCTGGTGTACTGTATTTTCCTTTCATTCCCTCTTCTCTCTGTCCCACCACTCCTTTAATTCCTTTTTCTTGGCAGTGGAGTGCATCATAAACTCATGCATAAAGTCCTCCTTAGTTCTTATTGGATGCTTTCTAATTCTTCACAACCATTCTGCCGCCGATAAGGGAGGCTGGCTTTCCAAGGTGATCTCTGTGAAGTTTAAATGCAACATTTTACAGAAGCAGTATTATTTGCAGCACAGACAACACTGTTTCAGTGCTTTAAAACACAGCCAGTACTCACACACCTGACACTAACTGGCTGACCCCATAAGCACACATAAGCCACAAGACCCCCAAAATGGTGAGTAGCCGCAGGGGCAGGGTAAATCACTGTTCCCGGACCCTGCTGTACACTGGGCATGTGGCTCTTGGGCACTTGGGGAAAGCCAGCACTGTAAGGGTGGCCTGATAATCATTTCTGTCCCCACACTTTCCACAGGAGGTGATCATTACGGAAGATATCTCACTGCTGAGGGTGAGCAGGGAATCAAGGGAGGGTCTTTTCCAAGCCTGCGGTTTCTGCCCTGGTCCCTATGAAACTAGCCTCTGTGCAGCTGTGGTCCTGCACCCTCTGTGATGGCACAGTGGCACAGGAAAGTTACCATTAATGGGGCAAGAAACAAAGCATCTCTGCCAAGGATCCTGCAAGAGATGATTGCCCAGTGTCTCCATGAGAGTTTCCTGGAGATCTCTGAGGGAGATTCACATGAAGTGAGGGAGTGTATCAACAGCCTGTTCCGCCGTTTAAACTAGGCATGAGATGAGAATCAAGCCAGCTTTCTGCAACTCTCCTGCCCCCAACAACTCCAAAAATCAGATCCATTTACCAGGGGCCTCGTATCCTGTTTGTGCTTCACCAATATCCGCCTGCTGTGATTGGCTAGGCTCCTCTGAGGTAGAAAAGAGCTCCAGACTGCATGCGTCTCTGGCCTCTGAGTCATCCTCTGCCTCTGGTTCCACCTCTCCCTCTTCATCCAAGATTGCCTCCTCCTGGCTTGGTCCACTCTCGACTGGCAATGAAGCCAATAAAGTATCCACAGGGGACTTGGCAGTGGAGGTGGGGTCACCACCGAGGATCGCGTCCAGCTCTTTGTAGAACTGGTAGCTCATGGGCACAGCACCAGAGTGGTGGTTTGCCTTCTGCGCCTTATGGTAAGCATTCCACAGCTCCTTCACTTTGACCTGCACTGCAGTGTGTCCCGGTCATGGCCCCTTTCTGTCATGCATCTAGAAATCTGTCCATTGATATCATAATTCCTATGGCTGGAGGGCAGCTGTGACTGCACTGTCTCCTCTCCCCAAATACCGATGAAGTTCAGCAGCTCGGCATTTCTCCAAGCGGGGGATCTCTTGGTGCGTTGAGATGCACTGAGACCACTGTATGCATCACCGAGCAAACAGGAAGGGGATTTTCAAATTTGGAAAGGAATGTATATGGTGGGCCTGACAGTTGGTCACTTGAGGGCAGGGCAGTAGAGTTCAAACTGATGGCCAGAGAGGTGAGAACAGGCATTGTGGGGCACCTCCTGGAGGCCAATCGCAGCGCTGTAATTACCACAGTCTCTACACTGGCACCACAGTGCTGTAGGCCCAGCGCAGAAAGCTCTCTGCCTCTCGTCGGGGTGTTTTTTTCAGAGCGCTGCATCTGCGCAGTTTCTGCACACTAAGTGGCTTGGCAGTGTGTACACCTCGGGAGTTACAGCTCTCAAAGCTACCTTACTGCGCACAAACGTGCCAGGGTAGATGGGGCCTCAATCTCCAGAGTCTCAGTAATCCCCATGAGGAGCTCCTAGAATGCTTTAAATCATCCAGTGCCAGTACCAGTGCTGATGATACTCCTCCATCCATCAATTACAAAGAAAAGATCCTTAGGCAGCAAGACAGGGCACTGATGTTGCTCTGCCCCTGGATCAAGCTCCTCTTGATTTTCTGGCACTGATGGTCTGGCCAGGAAAGCTGCTGGGGACTGGGGCCTCTTACTTGATGGAGACAAGCTCCTTGATGCCTCTGAACGTGAGCCCCAGTACCTCCCAATAGGCCATATCCTATATGCGTATGGGTGACTCACAGGCTGTTGATTGAACCAGTACCAATCTTGGCTGGCTACAACCTGTATGATAAGTCCATGGGTGTCTTAGTAGCATCATCCACAGAAGTCTGATGGAAGAGTACCCTGCTTGATATAGGGAAAAAATATACCCCAGTGATAGTGAGGAGTAGACTTCCTCAGGGAGTGGCACTGATCCTACGATGCCTGGGGTACCAGAGTCTCTGTGCATGCCAGTGGATATCTCAGCACCAGCAACAGTCCTGGTTCAGCCCAAACCTCCATCCCTGAGGCCGAGGTCAATGCCTATGGGGGCACTTTGGGTGCCAATGATGGCAGACTCTGCTGTGTAACAATGTGATGCTTCTCTCCACCCCTCAATGTCATGCAGCACTTGGAAGACTCAGCCCCAGAAGTCTTGCTCAGGACCCTGAGCTTTTATTTGAATTCTTGCCTCAGTGTTCCGCTTCAGTGCCTGAGGTGTTGATACAGCCTTTCATGTCAAACCTGAGATATGCTTCAGTTCTGGTGTCAGTGCTAAAGTTAATGCCATTCCAGGTCATTCTTCAGAGACTTCTTCTCTACAATGGTCTTAGGAGTTGCCTGTCTGCTTAATAGAGTGTTAGATGATGCTGGTTTGTCCATTGGAAGGATTCTGGAGTTCATTTCTTCTGGGTCCAATGTGACCTTCAGAGATTGGTCCAGAAGGCAAAGCTTCAAACATGCATCTCGCACCTTGAGAGTCCATGCAGAAAAGGATAAGCATACCGAGCCTCTGCTCACAACATGAGATTCTCAGACAGAAATGGTATGTACTGTGCCCATCTTTAAGGTGGATGAGTCCATCAGAGGAGAGACAGGGCTTGATGCCATTACAGAAACCCTGCAAAGGCTCTGTACAAAGGCCTCTTACCAGAAAAGTTTGGTCCAATTAGTTCTGGCTCTGTTCACAGTGGTTGAAACAGAAGATCAGAAGTGGGTCTGAAGATTTTGAAGAATTTTAGCCAGAGCTAAGAGATAATGGCACAGACAATTACTAGGTTCTGTCTCACTTCCAAGGATGCTAAGAGGGAACTGAGGGAGGGTCATAGTTGCCCCACCTTTTATGTCCTCATATAGAAGCACGAGGAGGCACAGGGCACATGTGCAGCCTCAACAGACACTGCTATTCAGAAAATCCAATGTGGCTTGCAGAAGGCACATGTACCCTTGCAATGGGCTTCACTTAGACACATACTCGATAAAGAATTAATTGTTTCTTTACAAAGAACAATTGCACAAGTGTAAGGGCTCATCTGCTTCCAAAGTTATTGTTAAAGGGTCTGATGCAATGCCCATTAAAGTTGATGTAAAATTTCCATTGACTTCAGTGGGTTTTGGATCAGGCTCTAAATGAATTTATAATCTCAAGAAAGTTCCACGGCATGTTTCAGAAGATTGTAACATCTGTTGTGGAATAATAAGCAACAGGACAGATAACTTTTTATTAACACTATTTCATTTTTCATTCAAATCAAAGTTTAAATATGTCTTTAAATGAGAAAACCAGCATTTGTTTTCAAACAGTGCAGGCATGGAGAAAAAGTTTTATTGATCTGAATAATGAAAATACAAGATTTCAGTCTAGCTGGCAGCAGTTTAAGAACAATATTCTCAATCACATCAGTTTGCTCAACTTTTTACACACTGGCTAAATAACTGTTCCTACATTTGTTGGGGGAAGAAAATGTCTCAGCATGTTAGAGACCACAAAATGTGAAAACTATAGCAGGAGAATTGAAAATAATCCTATTATTATAATTAATTATATTATATTATATTTATATTGGCATTTCACTGTGATCAAGAGCTAGTTTAGCAGCCACAACTGTATGTCCTAAGACACTAAAAACAATTAAACTGTGTACAGCATATGTAAATCAAACTTATTTACACGTTAAGAAACATATTTTCAATATTACCAGTGCCAAACATTCATCAATAATGATAGGACCAAAAAAACATGAGTGATTGAAAAAAATTATGAGATTTTAAGAAAATAAGTGCCGTGTTTTTTTTTCTTTTTGACCTTTAAATGTACACTCTGGTCATTTTTTCAAGCTTTTCTCAGCAACTGTGAAGGTTAGAAACTTACTTTTTAAAAAATGATAGCTAAGATTCTCACATAATCACTAAACTCCAGGAGATGGGATTTTAAGATAATTCTAAGTACTGCAAAGCTTGTGATAAAACCATGAGAGATGAGAAGACTGTATTCTGATGACTGTTGTTCAAACCACTTTATAACTCTGGCATCTAGGACTCTTATTTTTAATTTTTTAGCATTCAAAAGAAAAGAATACCCAGGGAATTGTTTTTTTCTACCCATACAGTGTGTAGATGAAGCACCCAAACCATTAGAATTTTAGAACAACTTGATTTTTTTGGGGGCAAAAAATGCAATAGTGTTGGAAAATTTTCATGAAGTTTTGTTTTTGGGAAAAATAAATCCTTTAAGACAAAAAAACAATATTTGATCTGAAAAAAATCAGTCCGTTCTCTTGCATATGTACGTCTACAAACTCATTCAGATTTCTCCTGTTGTGCCTGGGCCCACCTCCGAAAAACAGGAGAATTATTTTATTTCAAATGTAATGTCTCCTTTAGACCCAGTAGTTCTAGTGACCTGGCCAGAGGGCCAAATCATGAAGAGGGACAAACCTGAGTCCAGAGAGAGATCACATGGCAAGCAATCAAAGGAAAAGGCCTCAGACTGGTTGAGAGCTAATCCCCAGAAGATCCACAAGGAGTCATCACAGCAGTGAGTAATAAATTCTGTGGAACACCTGAGAAATCCAAGATGCATATTTTCCTGGCTTTAACTCTGTTTCTTGATTTTTATCTATCTATTTGGGTTTACCTGCCTCTTCAAAATCAGAATATTTTTATTTGCTGCAGATAAAAAACCCTGGATCTTTTCTGTTCCTATCTCACTGGCCTGCAATTTCTCTTCAACACTCCTTATCTTCCCCTTTCCACTTGATTTTCAGCATTTTTGTGCCCAGGCTTTCCAGCTTAGCTTCCAGAGGTTAGTATTGTTTCCATATCATTAGCCGTTTCACAGAAGGCTTTAACGAATCACAAGTTGCTTCAGTTCAGCCAAACAAAGGGGCGGATTCTTCACTCTCTTACACAATTTTTACACTGGTGTAAAACCATTAGTTTCAATATAGTTAACCATTAAGGGCCTGGATCCTCAAACTACACTGAAATCTATGGAAAAATTCTCATTGATTTCAATAGACGTTAGATCAGGCTTTAAGTGAGAATAGAATCTGGCCTAATAATATTCTGTTTTTCTTCCCTATTTCTGTTTCTCCCCCCACTAATGGCTGAGCTAGGCAAAACTACATTTTATTTCCTATTAATATAGTTATCTTCTCACTGTTCAGGACATGGCAGTTTTATGAGTCATAAGCTGTAAGGCCCTGCTCCCACCAATATCTTGTTTTCATGCATACAGGATCTCAGCAATAAAAACTGGGGGAAGAGAAATAGGCAATATGTACAAACACAATTATTTCAGAACAGAAAGTTTTCCATGTTGCAACACGGAGTTTGTAAACAGTTGACATCCCAGTTTTTTAAAAGCCAGCATCAGCTTGCCTCACTGTGGATCTACACAGTCCGTTTCTGCATGAAACACAATGACCATAAAGCATCTAAGATTGCTTTCTGCTTTGATGACCACAATCACTTAAATACATACTATATGCACATTCTATTTTACCTCTGCAATCTACCTATAATTACCATCACAAATGCACCCTACAGTTTCACTGTATTCTTGTCTTAATTAGTAAAAGGACATTGATCCCATTTTAGCTGCTCCTATTTCCAGTAAAATTGATAGTAAATTTTACAGCACTCAAATGTATTTGAATTAGTTTAGTAGGAGATATAAAAGCCACGATCATATATATTGAAGTTTTACTTGATCTTTAAGCACTCTTTGATCTAGGAAAATAAGACATTTATCAACTGGAAATGAACTATGCAGCCAATGTTACACATTTGACTTCCAAAGCTAATTCTCCTGCTTTGCAGAGAACTCCAGCCTTGTGGGATCACCACACCATTAAACAATTAAATCCAACCAGGCTTGTGCCAAGTCTCTTGGGAGGAGAAGGGAAATCACCATCATCATCTTTGGTTCTACATGACAAGTCTGCTATCTTATCATCTTGTCTTGGATAGTTTCGCTAATGGGGCTGAGTTGGGGCCTGGGCAACTGGGCTGGGTTGGGGCTGGGGGAGGAGTGCCTCTATTAATGTGTGTGTTTGTGTGTGTGTGTTTGTCTGATTCTGGGGCTGAAAGAATCCAGCCCTGGGGAACCTAGGTCCTGCAGGATAGCTCCATTGGGAGGGTATTTGCAGCAGGGAGAAGTAGAGCTCCGTATGAGAACACAAGTGACATAAGCAGTACATTGATAGAAGTACAGACCCCCCACCAGAAGAGTAACCCTAATAAATGAGCGTACCCCAAAGTAATGGGCAAAGCTGGTAACAATATGGAGGTGATGTGTGACACATGACCTCCATATTGGTGCACATAGCAAAATTAATTCCACATGTTCATGGGAAAAATTAGAGAGAACTGCTTGTTACCACCTCTCAATGACAGTGGTGCTGCCACAACCCCTGGCCTGAAGTAGTAATAACAAACATAAAAAAAATGGTTTCCATCATCAGCACCCCCCACTATGAAAATTGTTCCAGCACCCCTGTTCAGTCAGTGCTCTCTCTGACATCTGCTTCCTTTCCTTATCACCACCACCAGTCCATTTTCCTTTACTATCCTAGTCACTTCATGCTTTAGCCACTAAGTTACCAGTGATTAGATTCCCACTTTGCACTTAGGAGTAAATTAGGGCTTGATATTCACAGAAATTGAGTAGCCACAGTTCCAACTAAAGCCAATGGGAGTTTGATGCTTCTAAGGGCTTAATCCATTCACATGCATGGGATTTTTGCCATTGAGTTTAATGCGAGCAGCACCTGGTCCTAGATCAGCCTCCAGGTTTCTCAAGGTGAGAACCCAAATATCAAGGCATCCAAAATCAATGGGCAGTTTTTAAAATTGTGGTTTTATTTTTCTGTATCTCAATTTACCCTCTGTAGAATCAGATTTTCCTACTTCACATAAGTATTGTGAGCTTTCATTCTGTAATGTGTGTAAAGTGGTTTGAGCTCCTTGGAAGAAAGTGCTGTATTCTGTGCCACTGCACGGGCACAGAATTCATATCATCCACAAATTTCTTTGCTCTCTTGCAGAACAACAAGGAAGCAAAGAAATTTATGGGGGACACGCAACCCTTCCCCGGCAGCCCTGGTGCATCTATGCGAGGACCTGGAGCAGACAGAAGAGATATGAATAACTGCGGAGTGGGGAGAAGAGGTGGGCGTGCATTTGTGGGAAGATGTCAATCACTGCTAGGGGGCGGGGCTTGGCAGGCATGTGTGTGAACGAGAGAGAGAGACAGACTCTGTCCCGCTCACATGCCTGGTGTGGAGGGATAAGACTTCCTGTTGTTTGGAGGTAGGCATGAGGCAGACTCTGTCCCCTGAGGCAGAGCAGAAATGCAGCAGCCTTCCTGCATAGTTGTTAATATTCCTATTCTTAGTTAATTGTTTCAGTTCTTAGACTCTGTCTACACTACAGACCTTACAGCGGAACAGCTGTACTGCGGTAGCTGGGCCACAGTGAGGTCTCCTCTGTAGCCACTCTATGCTGGCAGGCGAGAAGTCTCCCACCAGCATAATTAAACCACCCTGAATGAGTGGCGGTAGTACATCTCCCATTGACATAGCACTGTCCACACTGGTGCTTTTTTCGGTGAAACTTCTGTCAGACAGCGGTGTCTTTGTTTCACACCCCTGACTGACAAAAGTTTTGCCGACAAAAGTGCTAGTGTAGACAAAACCCTAGTAAGTATCCCTAGGAGCATAAAATACGTGTAAAAGTTTTAAGGCTCCTTTACATTGCCAGAGTGGTAGAAAGGAGCCTTATTGTAAATGACAGTAAGGGAACCCTCAGCTAGAAAGATCTATGCACTTTCTCCCTTTTTTCCTGTGCCAGATTGGCACAATTCGGTTAGATTACAGCTCAGGATCTATTTTACTTACACATTTTTTTTTTAAAAAAAGGACCATGAGGGCAAACAAATCATTTATAAAACAGTCAATAAAATGTCAGGACAATCAGAACCAAACACTTCCCAAAGTAGCTGGCCAGGATTATAACTGGAATGCAGGGTGTTGGTTATTAAGGATTTGTAACTTAACTTTCATGTTTTTAGGAAATGCTGAATAGTTTTGGTGACTTTTTTATATTGTATTTTGAATAAATTACTAGGGCTGTCAAGCAATTAAAATTGTGATTAATCACACAATTAAAAATAACGATTTATCACGATCAATCATGCTGTTAATAACAGAATACCATTTATTACAAATATTTGCACTGTAAATAACAAAATAAATAGTTTTTTTTTTCAGTTCACCTAATACAAGTACTGTAGTGCAATCTCTTCTACATTTATAAGTTCAACTTCCATGATAAATTATGTACAAAAAACCTGCATTCAAAAATAAACCAGTGTAAAACTTTAGAGCCTACAAGTCCACTCAGTCCTACTTCTTGTTCAGCCAATCACTCAGACAAACAAGTTTGTTTACATTTGCAGAAGATAATGCTGCCTGCTGCTTGTTTACAATGTCATCTGAAAGTGAGAACAGGTGTTTGCATGGCACTATTTTAGCTGGTGTCTCAAGATCTTTACATGCCAGATATGCTAAAGATTCATATGTCCTTTGATGCTTCAACCACCATACCGGAGGACATGCATCCATGCTGATGACGGGTTCTGCTCAATAATGATCCAAAGCAGTGCAGACCAACGCATGTTAATTTTCATCATCTGAGTCAGATGCCACCAGCAGAAGGGTGATTTTCTTTTTTGGTGGTTCGGGTTCTGTAGTTTCCACATCAGAGTGTTGCTTTTTTAAGACTTCTGAAAGCATGCTCCACACCTCCATCCCTCTCAGATTTTGGAAGGCACTTGAGATTCTTAAACCTTGAGTCAAGTGCTATAGCTATCTTTAGAAATTTCACATTGGTATCTTCTTTGCGTTTTGTCAGTGAAAGTGTTCGTAAAACAAACAACATGTGCTGGGTCACCATTCGAGACAGCTATAAAATATATGGCAGAATGTGAGTAAAAAAGAGCAGGAGACATACAATTCTCCCCCAAGGAGTTCAGTCACAAATTTAATTAACACATTTTTTTTTAAACGAGTGCCATCAGCATGGATGCATGTCCTCTGGCATGATGGCCGAAGCATGAAGAGGCATATGAATCTTTAACGCATCCAGCACATAAATATTTTGCAACGCCAGCTACAACTGTGCTATGCAAATGCCTGTTCTCACTTTCAGGTGACATTGTAAATAAGAAGTGTGCAGCATTATCGCCCATAAATGTAAACAAACTTGTTTCTCTTAGCGATTGGCTGAACAAGAAGTAGGACTGAGTGGATTTATAGACTCTAAACTTTTACATTGTTTTGTTTTTGAGTGCAGTTATGTAACAAAATAATCTACATTTGTAAGTTGCACTTTCATGGTAATGACATTGCACTACAGTACTTGTATGAGGTGAATTAAAAAATACTGTTTCTTTTGTTTATCATTTTTACAGTGCAAATATTTGTAATCAAATATAATAAAGTGAGAACTGTACACTTTGTATTCTGTGTTGTAACTGAAATAGATATATTTGACAATGTAGAAAACCATCCAAAACTATTTAATAAATGTCAATTGGTAGTCTATTGTTTAACAGTGCGATTAATCATGATTAATTTTTGAGTGAATCGCGGGAGTTAACTGTGATTAAGCGACAGCCCTATAAATTACCCAAATACAGTAATTGAAACTGGTCTGATTATATTGCATTATTTTGACAAATAAAATATGCAGACTTTTTTATTTTTTGGCACAGAATTCCCACAGGAGTACTAGGTACATAAAGTTAGGCACACACTTAGTACCCTCTTTTGAAAAAATGAGTCTAGATGATAGTGTGAGAACCAAAATATCTAAAGAACAAATTAGTATCAGCTTCCAAGTTCTGTATCAAAACAAGTATACAAACACAGGTAAAACACATACACAAACTTATGATATAGTAGCAAATTGCCTTTGTTACTGTAACAGATACTAATGTATTGGAAATCAATAATGTAAACAGGAGACAGCTACTGTTATATCTTTGAGGAAATGCTAATTTTTTTTTACACAACCAAAATTTCCAAGGTTAAGGTCTACAAACAGTAAAAAAGGCACTGAATGGAGATGTCTGCCTACAAAATACAATCTGAATGAAGAGGATGATGATCCAGCACCATCATACTCAATGCTGCAGCCAGCATCAAGTGAGAGAAAGAAGGCACTCAAAGTCCTTGTTGAAATGGATATGTGAAGAATTGAGATTAAGGTCTTGTCTACACTAAAAGAGGTTTTTTTTTGTTTTTTTTTTCAGTACAGCTAAATTGCCAAACTCTTCTAGTGGAGATGCAGCTTCTACTGGCAAATGAGTTTTTTGTAGTGGTATACCTTCTACTAACCAACAAAACAAGCTATACTGACAAACTGTTTTTGCCAGTATAACTGCATCTACATTGGGGATTTTGCCAGCATAGTTATATCAGTTGGGGGTATATCCCCTTCCCCCCCACACACTTCTACCTGACATAGCTATGATAGCACAACTTTTTAAATGTAGACTAGGACTATGATCATCCTGTGCAAAAATAATTCCCTGCCAAATTAATTCCACCTTCTGTACAAAAGGGGTGGGGAAAAGATAAATTTGAGGAAAAATGTAGCTGGAGGCCAGAGGGATTATTCCTACCTATATGAAAAGTGTAGTTTTTTTGAGTGCAACAATCAGAGACATCACATAGTGAGAAGTGTCTCTGTATACACTGAGTTAGGTTTGGTCCATACTTAAAATTTAGGTCCCCTTAGCTACAGTGCTTAGGGGTGTGGGAAATCCACAAACTTGAGTGCTATAGTTATGCCGCTATAGTTGATGCAGCTATGTCAATGGAAAAATGCTTCCGTCAGCCTAGCTGCTGTTGCTTGGGGAGATGACATTTTTATAGTGACAGAAAATCCTCGTCTGTGGTTGTAGGCTATGCCTATGCTACAGCATTATGACAGCATAGCTATATGGAGCTGTAGCTATGCCACTATAGTCCCCGTCGTGTAGACATGGCCTTATAGTTGAAAATAAGAGTAGCGTGCATGAATTGAATTTACTTCTGTGTAAAGTCCTGTACAAAGTCTATGTGCCATTTAACCCCTATTTAATGGTGTAAGTGTGAAATAGGCCTTCTATTGGCTTTCTTCCAAAGGGTTAATTTTTTACCCATTAGTGTTATGGGCCTGATCCAAGCACCTTTCAATTTACTTCATTGTGTGTGGGATCGAGCCCTAAGGTCATGTTCCTGCAATGAGAGTTTTGCCATTAACTACAATGGGAGCAGGATAAGTCACTAGCTGAAGATGAATACTGGTTTCCTGTGTCTGACAGTATGCTGCCCCCAGCCACATGCTGCAATTGTCACAAATCATGCCAGTTTTCAGCAGGATGGCTGCCACCAGAAATTAGTGTAGAAACATCAACTGGAATTAAAACTTTATTTTGAAATCCACTTCAAATTTTACAAACGTGAAGCAGTGTTTGTCCAAAAGTGAAATAAATTAATCAGCTTGTGGGGAAAAAAGGACTCAGCTTTGCTGTTGTATTTTGGGTTTTCTCCACCACAGTGGTTTTAAAATACGCAACACAAAGTTAACTCTTTGTGTCACAGAAGCAGTAACAAGGGAGGATTAGAGTCAGAGTTGCATTCATCCCTCTGTTAAAACCTTGTAATGTGAAAATGAGGGCTGGTGAAAATCCCTCCGTTAAAACCTTCATGGGTGAAAATGAGGACTTGTGGTTTACATTTCAGCTTTTCACTTATGTGTGTATGCCCCCTGCCTGAAACCTTCTCTGTTGATCCATTGTACTCAGAGAAAGAGAGGTGAGAGTCACACTTGAGAAAGATGCTTGAAAAATATAAACATTATAAAAAAAGCCAAAGAAAATGCTTAAAGTTGAGTTCATTCTTGAGTTGTTTTTTTTAAAACTTGTTCTTATTCTGCCACAAAAATACCCTTCAGTGTGTTTTTGTTTTAGCAGGAAAGTGTCAGAGAAACACTTTCCCACCAGCCCTACATAACATATCAGGAAAAGCAAAGGAAGGGAGTTGTCAATTAAAAATAATAATAAATATGCAGTTAACCCCAGAAAAACAGCTCACCACCAGTTGTATAGGCACTGGTTGATTTCAAAGGCTTGGGTTTGTTTTCTTTGTGAAGCCACTGTAGGAAATGCAGAACAGTGGATGAAGGCAGACCTGTGCTAGAACGCCTCTCACAAGAAATTACCTCTATGTATTTGACAGGTTTCAGAGTAGCAGCCGTGTTAGTCTGTATTCGCAAAAAGAAAAGGAGGACTTGCGGCACCTTAGAGACTAACCCATTTATTTGAGCATGAGCTTTCGTGAGCTACAGCTCACTTCATCGGATGCATTCAGTGGAAAATACAGTGGGGAGATTTATATACATAGAGAACGTGAAACAATGGGTGTTACCATACACACTGTAACGAGAGTGATCACTTAAGGTGAGCTATTACCAGCAGGAGAGCGGGGGATAAAAAACCATCAAATAAATTTGTTAGTCTCTAAGGTGCCACAAGTACTCCTTTTCTTTTTGCTATATATTTGAAATCCGGTCCTGAACACATTCCATGGAAAGCATCCATCATCAGCAGACACAGAGGGCCAGATCCTTGGTTCCTGGTAAGTCTCCAGTGGTGCAAAGAGAATCTAAAGATGCATTAAGGCAGCAGCTGCGGGGAATCCTCAAAAACATGTATGGCTGACTTACCGATCACCATTCCAGGGAAGACAAATGATAGGGTTTGACTCTCAGTATCTGGGGATTGAAGAGTGGTATATAAACTATGTATCCCCAACATCATCACCTCACCATTCTCCTTGTGCAGTGAGTGCTGCTCCTGTGCATTTGGGGGTCAAACAATTTCCTTCAATTTCCTATACTTGCAGAGGAATGGACCCAGTAATCTATACTACTGGGCCACCTTATTCACTCCCATTCTGATTATATTTTCTAGAATGTTTTTATTCAGCAAGTCCCTGATCCTGCAAGCTGTTCTGTGTAGGTAGTCTCTCATGCCTGGTGAAAGCAGCTTCCAGAATTGGGCCCAATTACCATTATTTCTTCTCATGTCTAAGCCATTATATTGTTTGGGGGGCTACTTTCTCAACAACCAATTCTGTTTCATTTCTATTCTACCAGTTTTCACTTCTCACAATCTGTTTCTTTTTTCCCCTCTCTTCTCAAAACATTCAGTAACTTCTCTTCACTTTCACTTAGCCACAATTTGTGTCAAACTGTCACTATCACCTTCTAAATGTGCCAAACAAACACCTACCACTCACTTCTCTCAGATAACTCAAAGTGGGTTACTT